GAGTAAGCTGCCTATGAACGTATGTATGTATGTATGCTTTCAAGGGTGGGGGAAACACCAAAGAGAATCCTTTCCTTCCTTTCCCCTACGTGTCTGTCTCTCGCATGGCTTTTCAGGAACAAGGGAGAAGGATGGCGTTTGGTCTCTTCAAACTTCTGAGTGGCAAAAAAAATAAAAAAACCAAAATAACGCAGGGCTGAGAGAAATCCGAGGAAATGCCAAATCGGTATGGCTGTATTTCAGTTGAGGCGGAAGTGGGTGGAGGCTGAAATCTGGTGTACAATGTGGCTATTCATAAATCTTGGGAGACTGGGAGGCTTTGTGGAGCTGTTCTTTGAAGGAGAGCACTCATTCGAGGTTAGGTTTGAACAAACGTGGGATTTCATCCATGACGGGTGGGGGAGTGTCTCATACAGTAGGTTAAATTTACAGTACTGGCCAAAGGTTCGAAAATTGGCAGTCCCTGTCGTATCTTTCCAGGCAGAAAATACTGACACTAATGGAGTATATTCAGTTTTTCCTCCAATTTGGTGTTCTTTGGGTTTGGGTATGGTGGACTACAAGTCCCAGGCCGCCTTAGGATAGCCTATGTTATAGTGAGAATACTGTCTTGGGGAAAGCGGATATCTGACAGCTATCTAAAAACAAATGTGTCGTGGAATCAGAAATAACCTGAGTGACATCTGGGCTGTAGAAATCATTGTGACTACTAGAAGGTAACAAAATGTTGTGGGACTCTTTGTTGTTGATTAGTGGTTATAGTGCAATCCACATAGTGCGCACAAAAATCGCACTCACTCTCATAGTAGCTGCGAGAATAGAGGATGGAGTAGCTAGCTGGGAGAAAAGCCAGATGTCATATTTACTAGAGATAACAGACATGGAACAAGGCATCTCTGTAGACTGAAATGTGTAAGGTCTAGTTCATACAAGAAGAAGCATATTGTATTTTTCTGACCTAGAAATAATCCATTTGATATGGTTCCCCATTTTCAAATTGATCCAGAAAATACACTAGGATCTTAAGTGACATCTGCCACTCCCTCACTTTAAAGGCTTTCAAATTGTACCTGAAAACTCTACACAGTGAATATAAGATGTTCATCAACATTAATCACTAATCTGTTTTTATTTTGTGGTTTTAAAATTTGTTGTACACCATTATGGCTTCTGCATCTTTTAAGTTAGTACAGGATGATTCTGTAACTCTTAGAGCTATTTAATTAACCTACAACCAGACTACATTAACAAGTTAATGGTGTGGTAACTTGTAAAAGTTACCATTTTTAAAAAATCAATATTTATTTGCATTTAAGAAAGTTCTGATTTGCATTAGGATAGACCACTAAGGGTATGTACATCCCATAATCTGTAAAATATTAA